GTCTTTTCAGCATGCTTTGTCCTCACTCGCACGCTCCCCGAGAAAACCTCCCGGGGGGGTCACCCATCATAGAATTGCTCCAAGCCAAGCACGCTTAACTGTGGAGTTTCCAACGATGGACTTCCGGAAAAGAAGGTGCACCTTGTTGGTATGAGTAGTACCTATCAAATCTCTTAAGCTTTCTTGGTCGGGGTATTACAGCAGAATTTTCTAGGGTTTTAATATGTTGGCTATAATATTTGACTTTTTTTTTGTCATTTTATTCAGAACAGACGGGGTCGTGTTCTATCAAAAGCAATGACGGAGGCAGTGACGATTCGACAGAACTGAGGTGCTGAATCCTTAAGTTTCACAATCATGGTTGGCTGGGGGACTGCGATAAAGTTATATAAGAGAAAATGTTTGATTTTCAATTATCGTTTTACCATATAGTATACTAAGACAAACCTTTGGGCCAAATTTTAAAAATCCTAAAGAAAAAAGGGTAAAGAAAGGCCCACTATTTTTTTAAAAGCAAACTGCTCATCGACAGCTCGAGTGGGAACAATTTGTCTAACTTGTAAATTCAGATGGAGCCAGCATGGGCGGCCGCACCGGCTCGTTGGGTGTTGGCTCCACCGATGGTAGTTAGCACACATAAAGACTCTACGTCTTGAGTAATCTACAGGCTTTCTAGACTAAACCAGTTCAGTTGTTTTAAAGTTAATAACACTTGATGACTTTTGGTTACCAAGTTGCAATTTTTAAAGCTTTTTCCAAAAAAAAAAATTTGGGACTCCTGAATTTAGAATCTTGAATATCACTTTTTATAATAGAGTTCTATTCATCCTTTGTGTCACATCATTTTGATGTGGTGTTATAGACTATCCTATGTCTCAAAATACCCCACTTTTAATATGTCACTGACAATCCAAAACCCTTAAAACTAAATGGTTGTGAAGTTTGAGACATGCATCTAAATAGTTTGGAATATAAGTTTGCATGTAAGTGAGAAATGATACAAAATAATATCTAATATAATTACTTTGTTAGTACATTCTACTTTTTTTTATTAGTATTTACGGCTAGCATTTTTTGCACAGGTTCTTTCTCATTCAGATGCATTGTGCATTATACTTATGATCCATAGGGATTCAAATTTCATAAAAGAATGAAGTACTTCATCGTGTTGGAAACTTGAAATAGGCTGAGGAAAAAGTAAAAATTCTGGTGCAGAAAGAATGGTTAGTGATTTATATTGGGAGGATTACTTAAATCCACTTGGTACATATTAATTGGTCTTTGAAGACTCGGAAAAGATTGTGCTAGTTGATGCATATTATGGACTATAGATTAACTTCAATGGTTGGATTTAATCTTGTTATCAATCACTCTACTAGTCATGTTCATTTCATAGTATAATATTTGAATTTGAATTCAAATGGTTTTCGTTCTATAATTGTAAGACTTGTTCGCTTATTTCATTTGGACTTGGCAAAACAAAAAAAAGAAAGTATAGAGAGATAGTTAACTGGGAAAGACTTGTTCTCCGGCGATATATTTGGTGGCCTCTGAAGGATTCCTTTCTTAGTATATCCATTGTCATTTCCATGGATGACGGTGTATTGATCTAGTATATCACAAATCTGAGCTAAACAACACAAGACATATTGGTGCTGAGGTTGAAGAAGATTTGAGTTGGTTGGTTCGAGGCTTTAACAATTTGGGAGTTTATATTTCCACATTGTAGTTGTAATAATCGTTGTACTCTACATTATAAACTCCAGAAATGGTATCAAATAGGCTTGTGGTATAAATTGTTACAAGAACTTGAAAGATTGGAAGTCGAAGGGGTTCGGGTTTGATTGAAAATTAGTAACCTAAAACTTTAAACCCATTTTTTGGAGGATCTACGCATCTGATGGCCAAACTATGACCACCATCAGACTCCAGACGATGAGCAAAAGCTGCTATACAACGCGTGAGATAGACATGTAGGTGAGGCGGTAGCACGTGAACCACATGCGCAGATACCTAAGAGTTATGTGATAGCTCATAAATAGGATTCCACGACGATGAAAATAGACAGTTTGTTCCTAGATGAATTTCTGACCACCTGGTGGTGTTGGATTTCAGTTTGGTGCACTGTGGAAGCAAACATAACCTCACGCAGAAGAAAAAGAATAGAAATTTTTCTGTTGGTGGCTCAGAGGTGTTTCATGTGGTTGTAATGACTGTTGGATGACTTAGGGTAGTTATGGTAGCCCAAAATGGCTAAAAACTCGCATCTCTTCTTAAGATATGGACCGACAAATTGGTGTGCTCAGTTTGCGCATTCTGACACCCTCTCAAATTTGTAATTGTGATATTATGATTATTTGCTACAATATAATTTGTAATATTTAACTCTTGTGATATTATCTGTGCTACTTGTTCTGATATCATCATTTTTGTCATCTTGAAAAGCATTTATACATAAATTACTTTGAGCTTGCATTTGTGTGGGGGTAAATACTTTGTGTGAAACTTTTTCGAAAAACATTGTTTCGCTATTGTGACCTCTCAAGTTGAATTGCCACAATTCAATGGTAAGGAAGATATCCCATTTGGAAGCAAAAAATTAAAGCTATTTTAATTCAATAGAAATTTTCTAAAGCTCTTGACGACTTGTAAAAATATCCCGATGCATTAAAAGCTAAACCGGATGAAATTGATGAGATGAATGAAATTGCACATAGTTCAATTGTGTTACATTTATTTGATGATGTACTATGACAAGTTGAAAAACAAAAAATTATCAAAGAATCGTGGAAAGCACTTAACAAGCTATTTTTGGAAAAATCTTTTCCAAACAAGATTCACTTGCTTCTAAAATTTTTCAATTTTTAGCTAGACCCAAGAAAGGATCTTGAATCCAATTTGGGTAGCTTTAGTAGATTCATGAAGTGCTTGGTCCACAATTATAAGTAATTTGATTATGAGTATCTAGCTGTTATACTTTTGAATGCTATGCCGGAATCCTATAGATATGTTAGGAATGCTATCACGTATGCTAGGGATATTTTGAAGATATTATGACTGATTCTTTCAGGGCTAGGGAGCTAGAACTTAAGAAAAAATCGAGGGATAGCTCGAGAAAAGAGAGTTTGTTTGTTAGAAGAAAGGAAGAGATGAAGGAGAACTATTTTAAGAAGGGTGAATGAAAATCAAATGGTAGGTCTAACTCTAGAGATAAGAGTGGTAAGAAATGATAAAATTATGGTAAGTTAGGACATTTCAAGAGATATTGTTATAACCTTAAGAAGAAATAGAGACAGCAACATAGTGGGATCATAACTTAGTTGTTATAGGTTATTCCTTTGATTATCTACATGTAGTGACCGTGTCAAGAGATTTTGACACTGATGTAGATTGTGTATGTGATAACATACGATAACGCCCAAAGAATAACGCGGTAGTTATAGTGCAGTTTTGGAATGTCGTATCCACATGGAGATAGAAAATGCTCAAAGTATCGAGAAGAGTGAATTATTCCCTTCAATATGTAGTGAAATTCAATGTTTGAAATATGAAATTAAAATAAATAATTTGAGGCAATGAAGCGTCAGAATTCCTTCAGTTTGATTGGATCATTCACACCAATTATTCCATTTTATAGTATAATTAGAGACTTTCATCCCAA